TAGTATAGATGAGAAAAGCTTGTATTTGCCATTACAGTCGATGGAATCAACAAATGCCGAGTGAGTAGGTTTCGAGCAGTCAGTAGATACTGATTAAAAGATTTGGTCACCTTTGAATGTAAGTTAATGATCCAAAAATAAATGGTTGGGTATATGAATACCTACTTTTTTACTTGGAGGAAAAGTTCGGATTGTCTAGATAATTTTGTTTCTTTCATTCAGACGGCCTAAGCGAAATGGTAAATTGAGGATTGCACTAGAAAAACATAATAGTATGCATCGCTAGATGGGTTACTTAGTAAAGGGGATGTCAAATTTGGCAGATAAGTTTATATATAATCAGCAAAACTAGTGAAAAATATGAATTTCCATTTAAACCATAATTGTGTAAGGCTGGAAATTTGAAATGGGTGTTGGGAGTATGAAGCTCGCAGATAGAAATCGGTTATATGCAAAAAATAAGGCTAAAGCAGCAAAAGTATGACAATAATTATCCTTTGCACCTAATTTTAAATAATATCTCTTTGCTGAAAAAAGACTTTTAGTAAACGAATACAAAAAGGAAAAACTGGGAAGTTTTCGCATGCCCTAACTTAGCTATCATATCTTGCCTTCAAAAAGGCAAACTGATAAGGAATTGAAGGAATAAAAACGGTTTTTAAAGAAAGAGTTATGCCTTATTCAGTTATGTAGACTTTTAGAGAAAATTGACATTATATGAGATGTATTCACCTTATTTCCTTCAAGGTGATGAAGGACTGGTAGTAGAATTTTCCCACAATACTATGAGTAGAGCTGATGCTTTCATTAAAATTCACAGAGCCTTGACTTCCCAAAAGTTATGATTAACGTGTCAAGCTCACATGCCGCACTGTCACGCTTCAAATCCCACTGAGGGTGCGACCTATGCGAGGTCGAAATTGCAGTCCACCATGGATAAGAACAACTTTTGGGAAAGCAAGGCTATGTAAAATTCAATGGAAACGTGAGCTCTAATCATATATTTGTTGACAAATTATACTACCAGTTCTTCATCACCTTAAACGAAATAGTGTGAATACCTCTCATATAGCAGATTTATTGGTCATCTCTAAACTCTACTTATATACGAAAAATTGGCATTAGGTTGATGAAGGCTTTCACCTCATTCGCCAAGAGGTTAGCCAAACCTAAAATGTTTTAAATTGTCAAGAACAAAAGAAGACTATGTCGAAAGTAAAGGAGCAGGCTAGACAATGAATGAGAGGAAGGAGGGTAGGGAGTGACGTAAGAATTTAATACGCTTGATGGATAGACTTAAGTATAGAGATGATGAAGAGCAATATAAAATAAGGAGAAGACTATTAGGCTCAGCAATATTTCTAAAATTTAGATTCTTTTTATACTCATCAAATTAATAAGTACCACAGTCATATGTTTCATTATGTCTTTAAACCTTGATAATCTGGAACTGATGAAACACTCTATTCTGACTAATCTGTGCAATGATTGAGCACTTCGTAATCATTCTTACACAATTATACATGCAGCCATACTCATTCAGACATACATGTATTTAGATTATAATAAAAATAAAATGGCTAAATATTTGATAACTATTTTTATTCAATTCTAATTTGCTGCAGTTTTCAGCCTATATACCATTCATTAAAGATCAGGATAGCCTTTTTAACTTAGTGCTGGACTAGGTTTACTTGATGGAAAAGCTAGTGATAAGAAAGACGAAATCTCAGCCCATTATTACTATAATATAGAGAGAAGATCTTGTGGATTGCTTCAACCTAAACTTCATAGTAATGCCAAAAGGTGCAGGATAATAGTAATCCGCATAAGCCTTTCATAAAGCACGCCAATATTATCTCCAGATATTTAAATAAACCCAGTAACCTAGTTTAATTAAAATATGATAAAGTATAATAAAAGGCATGCACATAAATGGCAAAACTTTACGAAATTTTCAAAGCGTAATGTATAAATATTAGCGAAAAAAAATCAAACAACGAAAAATCAGGGTAATGAATAACTGATTGCCGTCTTCACCTATTTATCAGTATCAAAATGGACAAATAATGTAGCACTTTAAGAGATCTAAAGTGACTTAAGTCCTTATAAAAGTTTATAGTGTGTCAGTCAAAAATTTGTAAAAAAAAATAAGAAAATGGGATTGAGATTTAAAGAAGTTGTAGACGAACTTTGTTAAAATACAAGCTAAGCTTTACTATTGAGCCAATAAAAATCATTTATTTTTAGTTTCGTACTTGATGTATTGAATCCACTTACGCGTCAGTTTTTGAATCCATCCGGTTAACTGAGTATATGCATATGAATCTAATGGTGATAGCCATGCTGAACCAGTCCATGAACCGTTGCTTGTGCAAGCACTGATGTTGGCACAACCATTAGGTGCATTTTGATATGTCGATAAAGGAACAGCTAAAGATGATTTGGCTCTCGGAGGGATAAAATACTCTGCCTCGAGGCCGATACTAGACCGCGTTAGCGTATCTGGCCACTTTGGAAAGTCGGCTTTCGAACCTAGACTATTAACTTTGCCTAGCTGCGGATGTTGTTTCGGTATAGTGAATTTGGAAAGCAGTGGAAAGTTGAATTCAGGTTTCTCAGATGGGCTGTATTCACTTAAGAGCGATGCATAAGCAGCATCCCAGGCCGTAGTATTGCCTAGTGGTTTTGGTCGCGTCAGCCAGTCACCAGACGTAGACGATTTAGGCTGCTGCTGCATAGTCTGGTATAGCCGATTTAAGCCAGATTCAAGTGATGTGGGGAGGCGAAAGCGGGGACTTATACCAACATCAGCACTTTTAGAAGTGTCAGAAGTCGCGGAGGTGGGAATCGTCAGGAATTTAGACTCGGGCAACTTCATTCCATCTGCAATCTAGCACAGCCGTGGGCGAAAGACGAAGAATTTAATGGTAGAGAGAATAAAAAGTGCAATACAGCAAATAACTTTGCATTTAATGAAGGACGAATATCGAAAGAGCAAAGAGCTTGGTGTTAAGAAATTCTCTTATAATGATTTGTCAACCAGTAGTATTATTCATGGTCTGCACAGAATTCGAACTAAATAAATTTAATCAAAAAGAAAACACAAAATAAACAGAAACCTTAAAAAATGTTGCAATCTTAATAGTATCTAACTAAATGTAAAATAACTATTATTAATAAATAACAAAAAACATGCGAAAGACCAAGTGAAAATCTATCAATATTAAAACCATAAACGCAAATCAATTTAATAATCCATATTCTGCTAAAATAAATGACTTCATTGTTCCATTACATTTAAATAAGGTGGAATGAATTTCCGATATCGCAATGTCAACCTTTTTCCTTTAAATAACTTCGAAACTGTGTCGTGCGGATTAAATGGCAGCTAGTTACCACCATACTATAAGGTCTGAATGCCAGCCACTGATAGCATATGTGACCATCAGTGCTGTCCCAATCTAGCTGGCAGTCGTGGGCGTATTATTTCTCAATAAATCTCGAGCGTGGGTGGATAAAACTAGCAGGAAGTGTATTACCAAAAATTGTCACAATTTATGGATGAATAAAATAATCATATTAATATAGAAGAGCGGCAAAATTTCTGAATAATCGTATGAAATCTGGTGGAGAAAAGGGCTGTTAGGAGTTCAAGGCAAGGCGAATTTATGTATAAGAGTCTAGAAGCCTGATTAAATTCCCAGAATCTCAACATTTCCACCGGCAACATAATCTTTAAAAAGTAAACGGAATTAAAAACTAAGTCGATATATTTTATGTTTCCCTCATAGATCAAGGAGCTCACTGATAAGAATCGTCATCTAAAGCAACGGCAATATATTAAGTACTCACTCTTCTGTTAGTCATAAAGCCAAATACATCTCCTCGAGGATCGCCTCCATGTTTCTAAATGAAAAATTGTGTAACAGAAGATGAGGGGAAATAACGGAAAAAGATTTAAAACAATTAAATTGTTCGCTTAAATCATTTATATCATAAAGGAATTACAATATTTTACGGACAAATGAAGTAAAAATAGATAATAAATAATTTAATAGATATTTAACATGGTTTTTGCAACTTGATGATATTCGTAGGAAGACAGAGGAACGTACCTTGTCCTTAGTCAATAGTATGCATGATAATTTCCAGAATCGGACTGTGTGCTTGGTGCATTTGTAAACGCTCCGCCGGATTCGTCAGTTTTAGCACCAGACTACAATCCATCAAAGAAGCAAGTGAAGTCGATCCTAGGACCAATAGTATGCTAACCAGTTTTGGTATCTCTCCTCTGTTCAGGTGTATTTACCTAGCCCATATCCAGGGATCACTACTTCACTATCACAATTTTTGCTTGCTTATTTAAACGTGGTTCTGGTGTTGTATTTAGAGGGGATTTCATGAAAACTGTTCACACCCCACGATGGCTTTCTCACCCGCCTGATCTGAGTCTGTCTTATTAGTCCACAAACCACTTGCTTCAGGTCCTATCAGTCTTCCTCTTGCTCCGTAGGATCGATCTTCTATCTCCCTGGTTCGAATATTTCACTCGACCACTGCCACCTTATCTGTGCTACTCGAGGCCTTATTTCACACACGCTGCCCTAAGCCTTCGATGACATGTATACGCCTGCCTCACTGGGCAGACTCCCATAGTCTGAATTTTTAAGTTGTCTGAGAGACTAACCTTATCATCACTCAGTTTGTGCACATTTGTAATTCTCATGGTCAAGCCATTAATTCACGGACAACGTCTCTGCTCAAACGCTTTATTGTTAGCCAACTAGATCTAGTCTTCATCGCATCTATCATGCTTCTATGCATAATGCCTAGTCTATGACTGCCTATTCCCTAGTCGCTTTCGTTCCAACCCCTAAATATTGTGGTTCTACTTGTGTTGATTAAGAAAAGACGGAAAGTGTCCTGCTGGAGATATTGGAGCTGGAAGAGGACATCCTAGAGGCAGAACTGATACGAAAAGAGTCGTTAACACTACTCATCATCCAGAAATTAAGTAACAACTATTGTACATTTAACGGTAATAACTTTGAGCAAATATTCAGACTACCGATGGGATGTCCACTCTCATATTTTTTGGAAAATGTATACATAGACAAATTGGAAAGGGAATTCGAGAACTCGCCGTTGCAACCTAGAGTGCGTATACGATACATGGATGAGTCGCATTGTTAAGATAATTCTAAAGGATTCCTCAACTTTATGAATAAACTTGATAAAAGATTTAAATAAGGAATGGAGGTAGAGGAGAATTAGCAACTATCTTAACAGGATGTTGAGGTCATTCATTTTAACGTGAAACTCAAGAAAATGCTATTCAGAAAGAAATCACATGCGAGAATAGTCCTCAATTTAGTCTCATCAGAACTCTAGACTATTTGGGAGTTTGATCATCCGAAGCTTAAGACCAATGAACCATGAGTTCTGGGAAGAGGAGTTAGACAAGCTGATTCAGACTTGCCTTATTAACGGGTATCCCAGATAATTTGTAGAAATAAGTGCATGGATCATAAAGAGCAATTTCAACTAGGATTTCATGAAAATAACATCGAGAATTGGGAGCAAGGCCAAAAGTGGAAATTTCTGTCCTCCTGTGAACTGAGCCAAAAATTTCTATCGATACTAGGACTATAAAGATGATAACAAAGGAAACGACAAAAATCTTCATTAATCTCTCAACTCACCACGTGAAGATTGACAATCTGGATTGCTCAGAAATTTATCACAAAATGCGGTAAATTTGATAATACGTATATTGGTGAAACAGGAAGAAAAATCAGCCAAAAAATCATGAAACTTATAAGGCTCTGTAGGAATATGGATACGGAGAGACCCCCAAAAGCGGAACACATTGCACGGAAGGGACGTGAAACCACCTAGAAATCGGCAGAAAAGTTGGCTCCATATTGTAAAAATACGAAAAACCTATAGTTTATAGATACCCTGACTTAAAGAAATCCAATAAACAAAGGACTTGAAAAAGGCAGGATTTGCGAAAATTTTTCCTATTGCATAAGCAACCTCAGAGAAGATCAGGTAACAGTAAGATCTGCAACCAGAAGACGACTGGATCAAGTTTATGTTTTTAATTTTAAGAAAAGAAATCGCAAGGAGACCACCGAGAAACACTCGGAAATCAAGAGATGCCTTAAGTGAGCCTAATCAAAACAAGTAGAATCAATGGCTTAATCATGAAAATTACCCGGTGCACATGTCAAATGCTGATAAGGGGATCTATAGCCGTAAGTTAGTCTTCCGTACAGCGTGAGAATCCCGACTTTGGGGGTTAGATCAGGAAGGCGGGAGTATTCGTACCACCAAAGGCTTGAGGCAGCATGTGGAAATAACGCCTCGAGTAGCACAGATCAAGCGGAAGATTTCGGATAAAATCACTAGACCAGAGCTGTCACAACTGTTTAGCATACAATTAGTCAAAGGATCGACGAGTTTGAGTGTAGTGCTGAGAGTGGCACAGCTCACTGACGATGCCGTTGAAACGTCTGGGAATGTACTGAGCCCACGGTCAGACTCTGGAAATTATCATGCATACTATGGACTCTGGACAAGGTGTGCTCCTCTAGGTCTTCCCATAAATATGATCAAGTCGCAAAACTAAGGTTAAACAACTAATATACAACGAAAGAAGACCGCGCTTATACCAAAAGCCATAATATATTGGTCGTCATACCTTACATAAGTAATTTAGCCTTCGAAAGTATCCATACGCTAATGCTATTAAAATGACAAAAATGAGCTGCTTGGTTTTATTACACAAGGGATTACATTAATTTGCTAAGTGTAGAGGAATCACAATATCTCATTGAGTTTAAGAATATATAAATAAAATTTCCATAAAAATGGAAAGTCTTAAAACATTAAACATCAAGAATGGCTAACAAATATTTCTATTTTTAAGATTACAATCAATGCGCGGGATCAAAAAACTAAATTAGTGCAAATTGCCAGGAACATAAACATGAATGAAAGAATATCAATATTGATAATGAAGTTGCGTGACTTTTTCTTAGCAACGTCGTCATATTGGTAGGAAGACGAGTTATAGTATGGTGCTAAGAATGAAAAGATTCATTGACGATGCCGGAGAAATGTCTGGAAATGTACCACCTCTATGGTCCGACTCTGGAAATTATCATGCATACTATGGACTCCGGACTAGATGCGTTCCTCTAAGTCTTCCTACATAAATGACAAAGTTTCGAAAACAAGGTCAAACAACTTATATACAACGAAAGGACACTAAGACCACATAAAAAACCACAACATCTTGGTCTTCATACCTTCGATTGATAGGGAAAACTAAACAATCTAAAAAATGAAGAAAGTAGTAAGCATCAAAGGTTAAATATACCTAATGAAGTCGAGAACGGAAGAAACAAGTAATGGTAAAAAGCATGTGTAATATTAGGGAAAAGTAGGGAAAATCAGAGAATCAACAGGTTCATTGGTAAGAAGATTCTTATAATTAAGGTATATCTAAAAAATGAGAACTTGAATTAAATTTCGAGACAAAGTGTGATTAGAGAGTCATAGCTTGGTCTCACTAGAAGACAAAGCAGGTAGCCCTTGGTTTGTCGTCATTTGATTTTGCCTGGACTTTCAGGCTGACGAAGTCTTCGGGACAACCTCCTTCATCTACCGCGAAAAAGTGCTGACCTTTCAATTGTCATATAATACACATCAGAGGTTCTTCTAAAACCTGTCAGTCTACACATAAGCAAGCAAGTGTAAATCTAAACGAAGCGTAAGAAGAAAGTGCAAGGCCTGGGAGAAGAGGAAGAGAGCATGACAGGCCAATAGTGCTAGTCTATGTTTGTATAGCCAAGGTGAGTAAACCAGGTCAAACCACATTAATGTGAACAAAATTGGCTGGTACAAGACATTGGTCTTAATATATGCAAAAGTCTATTTGCAGCCTATATCTATAACTCATTAATCTGTGGGCTTTTCAGTGCAAAATGTTACTTAATGACGACAGGGAATGTCCCACAGATAACTAAGAAATAAATTTAAATTGATTTGTTAATTATTTCCATTACCTTTCCTATGGATGATTCTGCAGTTACCCTGCATCGTAATTCTTTCCTAACTTTAGAGTGTATTTCCGACACTCCAGAAGGCAAAATCTTTGATTTTTAACATAAAACTTATAGCAAGATGCCAATGGTACTAGTTTATACATCAACGAAATATGTTATTTTCAATAAGGAAGGTGGATAATCTGCTCAATTAAAAATATGGTAAGTCTTTCGCTTAGATTCCAACGCAGAAGATGATTAGCTAGCTGTCATGGTAATTCACAAATTCGATCAAAGCATAAACCTTATATTCTTGTGAGATTTCGTAATTGCTCTGCTTATTTTAAAAAGTTGTTCTATAAACCGTAAGCACTATGCGCCAAGCAGTACAATCGCCATAGAAGTTGTAAAATGAAATAAACATCATAATTCAACACTAATTCAAAGATAAGCCAGTAGAACATCCCTAGAATGTACAGGCAAATAAAAAGTGAAAAACTAATAAATAATAGAGGAAATATAAGGGATGTATGAATAATATCAGCAAAAGCTAAACCGAAGATAATAGGTTTTAGTTTTTTAGAAACCTATATATGGCCCAGTGTCAGAGTAATTGATTAAAGTACTAATGAAGCTTACACCTGGTCTAGGGAGTGAAAGATATCCCTCGCTTCCTCTGTTCAAATGTCGGCCATCACTTATGTAGTCATCCGATATGGTCACGTTCAGATGGGCTGGACTAGTAGTTGAAATTGGTCCAAAACCCTCTTGAAGCATACCTTGTGTTAACATAAATTGGTACAAAGTAGCTTCGAGATTTGCAGTACTAGAGAGTGCTGGCAGATCTTTTTTAGCAATTGACTGTGACTTTACTTCGGATTCAGTCCCACTGATTTTGTCTATAGTACAGGCAATTGTAGAATCTGGAAGGCTATCCTGCTCTGGCATTGTGAAACGGTTTGGGGCTTTGACAACTATTGCAGGGAGATTTGCATTGCGTCCCGGATTAGTAGCAGGGACAGAGGGCAAAACGGGAGATGGAGTGTCTTTGTATCCAGTTGATATTCCTGGTACATTGGCGATCGAGGTAGTATGGATGGGTGAAATTGCGGCAGGAGCCGGAAAAGTAGTGGTAGATGTATGATGAGAGGAAGGTGTTACACAGGTACCACCAAGAGAAGAAACTCGAGAGATCTGCCCAGCTGACGGAGGACGAGGTGGCAGAAGATGGAGAGAAGAAGTAGGAGCGATACCCCAGAACAAAGAAGAAGGCAATACGCCGTTCGAATAGGACTGAGCAAGGCTACGAGGCTGGATGGAAGACTAGGAGAAAAAGGGGAAAAATAATTATAACCCAAACTGGAGGCTAAAAATTACATTTTATCTAACTAAAACAGGATTATTAGTAGTATAAAATGAAAGTCGAGAGTAGGCTCTGATCTTTGAGCTGCCATTCATAAGTCATAAAAATGAGTGTAATAAAACCTAAAGTTAATTTAATCTTAGTTATACGGATTGATTCCAAAGAGTTAGATTAGCTCAACATCTTTCGCTAATTCATTTGTCGATAAATATTTCCGTATAGAACAACTGAATATAATTATTTTAAGGGACTTTATTATCGCCATAGATACCATCACTGAAAAGAAGAGACATGTTTTGCACAAGAACTAAGCTGGATAAGTAAAGAAATAGTTTTACAAAAAAACTAATACCAATATTTAAAATCCGAGGGAAATGAATGCTCGTACGTATAGCGTTATAGGTGGCACAGAGATATGGCAGTATTACACAAGTAAAAAACTGGCTG